GTAAATTTTTCTTCTTGGTTTTGGATATTTTTGAAAACTCTCAAACTTCTGTAATAAGACTGTAAGAGCATAGGCTGGCCATACATGGATTGAACTTCGTCCAGATCAGCAGGGACCGGGCAAATTTAGATCTATGTATGGGCTTGCTTGTTGCACTATTGACTTGTGTACAACCAGCCTATTGGGTTTTTCCCAAATAATCAGTGCCACTGGTTATGATGATTCTATTCTGCCGGTGAGGAGCCTTCAGAAAACAATAGTACAGCAGGAGGATTCCCCCATTCACATTCACATCGGCTTTTTTCTTTTTTACCTTTTTGTTCAACCTGCTGGTTGATTGAACTCAAATAAATCGTTAATGGGCTGCCATAGAGATACTAAGAATCCGTTGTTTTCAGCCAGTGTCACCAGATCCATCCATTGCTGTATTCTGGATACAGATTTTTAGATGCTCCCCGACTTTCTGCATGGATCTGCAATCACTCCCCGATCGACCACCGCTAAGATAAAATCTCAACTACACAGAGATTCCATTGTTTTCTATCAGTCAGACCTGACGATAGACTTTCACTGTGTGGGAGGAACTTTACAATAATATGGTCTTAAGCCCAGGGGTGTATTTACCACAAGGCAAACAAGGCATTTGCCTAGGGCAGCATTTTTTTAGGGGGGGGCAGCAGCATTTTTCAGGGGGGTAGCAGCATTTTTCAGGGGGGCAGCGCTGTCCCCTGAAAGAAGGAAAGGAAGACGGGATACACGCAGCTCGGGGACCAGGTGGTATCTGAGAAAGGTTGTGGGCTGCTTGGTGGTGTATGCAGAGCCTGACTCTTGTTCCTGGGGATGTCCGGAGCTGTGAAGGTGAGTGTCTTATCTCTTGACGGGGTAGGGGTTGCCAGTGTATGGGGGTGGTGGTAGTGGAAGGCTCTCTAAGGTGGGCTGGTGCGTTGGTCAATAGGGGGATCCATTTTTTGTGTTGCCTAGGGCAGCATGAAACCTAAATACACCACTGCTTAAGCCAGCCATAGATGGTTCGATTCTTGGCTGGTCCCTGGTCAAAGCATCTGTAGGCAAGCTGATTGTACCACAGTCGATCCATCTATCGACTTGGGTACAACCAGCATGTCGGACTTTCAGCATGTGATTACTGCCGGTGGTTGTGGCCACTAGCAATAATCATTGCGTTCTCCCGGCTGGGATGGCTCCCCATGCCCCCCTGCGGGAGAATACAAAAGCTCTGCAGGTGTTGATGGGGGAATCAAGTGATTTTCTTACCTGCAACCGAAGAAAATCTCATCATCTATGGCTGGTTTTACTCCCAGCCTGTAAATATGGAGATGACTTATTTATCCCTCTACATATTCATATATTCCTTTATCAGAAGGAAATGTTCTGTGTTCAGGAATGTTGACCATCCAGTTCAGGAGGGCCGTTGGTCACTCCATGTTCACATGTTCACATGAGAGCAGACGTGCAGAATGTCCCCAGCAACTGACGGGGACAGACCGGGGATTAATTTATAACCTGACATGGTAAATGCATGAAAGAGTCAACACTCCGCCTTGTGTTTGTTTCACAGTAATGCTAGAAATCAGCAAAGTCTAATCCAAAATTGTCGACGCGGAGGACAGGAACACTTACGTAATCCCAGGTTAATAAAGTAGTGATGTGGACCTTTGATTTTTTTTTTTCTGTAATCTAAAGCGGTAATAAACCCAAAATCCAAAATGTAATATGTTGCAGCTTGCCAGTCGTTAGATGTGGTGGCCGCATCAGTTTTCCTTTTTACCTTTATTTTCACCTGGTGATCTGGCCACTTCCTGTCTGAGGTTGGCCGTAGATGGGTCGTTTTTTTTTTTTTTGTTCAGCCATTGCACTGAATGAAAGAAAAAGAGCTGATTCCTCCATCCACACAAGCATGGTGAATAGAGGATTCCTCCCCGCTGAGACACAGGGTTTGATTTGCTGGAGAGTGCAACATCTGGTGCAGTTCTGCCTAGAAACCAATCAGCTTTCAGGATGTTTTGTCAAAGTAAGTGTGCTTCACTGTAAGCACACTGCTCTGGATGGCTCTGTGCACAGCCATCCAGAGCAGTGTGCCTGAGCTGACAGGGAGGACTGTTAGTAAACAAAGCAGTCCTCCTCCCTGTCGGAGATGCTCGGTAATCACCGGGTGCCGGCAGGTAATCACCGAGCGGGACCCGGTGATTGACAGCCGCGGCAGCGAACATCAGCGCGGGTAGGGCACGGGTAGGGCACACACGGCTTGCACGCGCCCCCTACCTGGAAATACAAAATCACATATCTTTAAACGTGATTTTGCGCACCCTTGCCACCCTGTAGCAGTATATCTGTTATAGGATGGTCGGGATGTGGTTAAACTTGACAAAAAGAGAACATTTTTAAAGGAGGCAAAAAGTGGGTGTGGCCAGCGGAAAGTGGGTGTAACCACGTGAGTGTGATTTGGGTATACCTGCAACAACTTTGATAAGAATCCCACCTGGCACTGGAAGATTGATCATAATACGGGGCACAAACACGGCCAAGACGGGGATGTTCCAGGGGCGGACTGACTATTCGAGCACTCGGGCACTGCCGAGGGCCCGGGGTCAGTAGGGGGCTCCATGAGATTCCCCTGGTACCTTTCATTGGTTTTTTTGCGTGTGGGCGAGGACACAGGGGCCCCATGATCCCCTATTGCCCGGTGGCCCCGTGAGTTGTCAGTCTGCCCCTGAGATGTTCATCAATAAAAGTTTTTATGTATTTGTTTAGCTGGTTAGAAGTTTTAGTACATTCTATTTATAGTGTGACAACCTGACAACTCCTGTGGAGAATACTGTGATAAGCACCAATTATACTGTAAACACACTTGGCACAAGATACATGTAGTACCTAACCCGTAGGAGCCGCTGGATAGCATGGGTCCTTTTTTATTTGCCTCGACCTTCTCAAGAACCTCAGCCCCTCCGACACACCAGGTTGAGTGTACAGACATACAATATCACAGGATATCACCGAAGGAAATACTTAGTACCCAATAGTTGTGTTATATCAAAGAAAACAGGCAGCAAATCACGTAGTAAAGGCAAACGTAATATACTGTCACCCAATGGTAACTAGGCAAGCAAAAAATAGAGTAACAATAGGAACAACCCAATTTACATGCAAACAAAAGTATTGTTACAAGTATTGCACACAAAGTGATTAACAGTAGGGACTAGGAATGACGTGACGTTTGGCATCCAGATGAGCACAAACAGTAGCAAGGCCGCCTCAAGTGCAGCAGTGAGAAGTAGTAGAGTTTAATCTACCGAGTGTTGAAAATATACTGCCAGATCGCATTTATGGTGGCAATGCTAGTCCTAGACCGACTGGGTATGCTGTGTCCAAAAGAAAAGAGGGATGGTAGAGGAGGGGGAGCAGGGGAATAAAAGGGGCTCGCAGAGTAATTATTACAGTTCTTTGAGATATTCTTCTGCCGGCTACCGTTGGGGCCCTTTAAGATGTCCCAGGTGACCTGCATGTAGTATAAGTACAGTATAGTCTTCATGCAGGTGCAAAGTAGGTGTGGTTCATATGAATCCACCCCCAGTACAGATTCTTCTCCCAGTCCCTTCTCAGTACAGACCACCCCCATAGCTCCTAATCCCCCTCAGCCATTCTTATTACAGACACCCTGCATCCCAGCTATACAAATCCCCCCCCCCCTTAGTACACTCCAGGAGTCCAGCATTGTCACTCCTTTATCACGTGTTTCTGGTGGGCACTGCAAGCAGCTATGGCAAAGCTCAATGCAAAAAAGATTAAAAAAAAGTGAAAACATTTTCCAAAAGGAAAAACAAACCAGTAATATTTTATGACACACCATGTACAGAGCAATCTGAATGTCATCCAGGTAGAGTTTATATCTACTTTAGTGATTATTTTGCTGCGTCTTCACATTCTGTGTGCCTGCCTTTGTTTCTCTGCAGTCAACAACTGCTGAAATCATATTTCATCCATACCAAGTGAGAATAGTTTCCAAACCTTGCATATAGGGAGAGGAACAGAAGAGGAGGCCATAAGCAACCAGATTCTGCCCACAGTATTTCATTGTCGTGGGCCGAATGACATCCGGGGTCATGCAATTCGGGGGACTGAGGACTTTGGAAAGCAATTACTGCAGGGAACATTGACAGGAAGGAGGTTAGTATTAAAGCCAGAACTGCTTTTTTCTGTTTTCAAACACCTCCCAGGGCTGCTGACTATACATCTTAGTTCTGATCAGAGGCGGACTGACCATTTGCAATCTAAATGTCATCCAGGTAGAGTTTATATCCACTTTAGTGATTTTTTTTGCTGCGTCTTCACATTCTGTGTGCCTGCCTTTGTTTCTCTGCAGTCAACAACCGCTGAAATCAAATTTCATCCATACCAAGTTTCCAAACCTTGCATATAGGGAGAGGAACAGAAGAGGAGGCCATAAGCAACCAGATTCTGCCCCAATTCGATGGTCCAGTGTGACACTTTGGTGAGAATTGAGGATAGGGAAAGAAATAAGTGACCACAATAGAGTTGCAAGATATACAGCATCAGACTGTGGCGTGATGAAGGTCATACACAAGCATTGTGCAGCACTACAAAGACATTTACACACCAAGGCGATTGTCTCATTGCAATGACTTCCTACGGGACAGATCCATTCCAGGTTCAGTCAGACAAAGGAAGGCAAAAAAACACAGCAAACTCTGTACTCCTGCGCTTGGGGATGGACTCAGCAAAGGCTATGGTAACAATTCTGATGTCCTGGAAAATGCACTCAACGGACTGGGGTAGTCCAAAGTCACTGGATACAAAGAAAACAAACAGATGGCGCACCGGCACCAACTTGGCTCTGAGGAAGAGGCTGAGACCTCGAAACGCGTTAGCCTGTTGGAAGTCCAGGATTCCAATTATGGATTTATATGCAGTGTGGATTGGACACCGCTGTTTAGTGTGATGTGTCTTTGTCCTGTATGTCAATTGTGAGCAGGGGCGGACTGACCATTCGAGCACTCGAGCACTGCCCGAGGGCCCGGGATCAGTAGGGGACCCCATGAGATGCCCCTGGTACCTTTCATAGGCTTTTTTGGGTGTGGTTTGAGTGTGGGCAAGGACACAGGAGCCCCTTGATCCCCTATTGCTCGGGGGCCAGGGGCGGACTGACCATTGACCATTCAAGCACTCGGGCACTGCCTGAGGGCCCGGGGTCAGTAGGGGGCCCCATGAAATGCCCCTGTTACCTTTCATTGGCTTTTTCATAAGCTTTTTTGGGTGTGGGTGAGGATACAGGGCCCCATGATCCCCTATTGCCCGTGGACCCCATGAGTTGTCAGTCCTGCCCCCTGTTGGGGGCCCCATGAGTTGTCAGTCCACCCCTGATTTTGAGTAAAACACTTACTTTTTATCCTTTTAATAAATATTTTTTATGATAATGCACTAGGCCACTGCGCTTCTGTTTGTTTTCTTTGTATCCAAAGGGAGACAAAAAGCAGGCAGCTACAAGAGTGCGGTCTTTATTGCCGCACTCCCAACAGCCAAGAGTGTAATAATAATGAGAAGCGGCCTCAGCTTTGGCTCCTCTTAAGTGTCAGGGCAGGAGCTGAGGAACGGACAGGCAGGCCTAATAACAATGTAATGCACTGGCTGACGACAACCACCACCCACAGACCGAAAAGTCCCTCAGGGCACGGAGCCTAAGTCCCAGGCTGCCCTTCACCAGGGCCCCTGATGGTGGGGATGGACTTGACGCAGCCAGGAACCAGGTCGCGGCCCCCCCGAGACACCTCAGTTGCGGTAATGGCCACCACCAATGGCGTGTAGCTGGTGGAAAAGACAATAGAGTAGTCGGGCAGGCCGGGTCGACAACAACGGGACAAAACGGTACAGGACAGCAGACGAGAATCACAGGTCACGAGCCGGGTTCAGCAACAGAGGGTCAGATCAAAGGAGAACACAAAGAATAGTCGAGTCACAAGCCGAGTCAGATTCCAGGAGAGTCACGAGAGTCAGAACAGAGTTATAGCAACACAAAGATACAAGACACAAGTGCAAAGAGCATGTGCAGACCACAGGCTTATAAGTCATCAGCCACACCCCTCTGGGGAATGGACCTCAGAGACCTGAAGGCATAAAGGATTCCCACCATGCTCAGCAGAAATCCAAGATGGATGCCAGCACATGGAGTAACATAACCTCTGGGAAAAGGTAGGACCTTGATATTAAGCCACGCCCCCTGACGCATTTCACCCCGCCCTGCCCCTGGCGCTTAGTTATAGTCACCTCTATATGGGGTCGGGTCAAAACACATCAGAGGGTGGAGCTTAAGGGGAGCAGAAGCTGAGGCTCCTTCTATTATCACACACTGGGCTTTTGGGAGTGCAGCGCCTTCATATCGCATAGTCATTACGTTTCTTGGATGAGCATTCTAGAAACCAGCACCTATTCAAGTAATGGATCACTGAAGCAGCAATACCTACCTATCAGAACGCGTCGCAGTGATTAAGACATCACATGTTACCCCTTTATTTCTAACGCAATGCACAACACATTACCAGGGGCGGACTGACAACTCATGGGGCAATAGGGGATCATGGGGCCCCTGTGTCCTTGCCCAAACTCAAAAAAGCCTATGAAAAAGGTACCAGGGGCATCTCATGGGGCCCCCTACTGACCCCGGGCCCCCGGGCAGTGCCAGAGTTTCCAAATTGTCAGTCCGCCCCTGCACATTACTACCATGCATTACGGCATACTACAATGTAGGTCCATTGCCTTAGTGCCTTGCAGAGCCATACAAAATGGCGCCCAGATTCACTGTACCACCTCTGGGTGTGTCCCTGCTCCCGTGTCCTCGGATGCCGCAAACAGATAACTGCGGTAATTGCTGTGTTTTTTTGTACTGACTTACTCAGCTGCACTATTTGAAGAATTTGCTAAAATATCCATATTCTTGAGATTCCCGCCGACAGCCTTAAGAGCCTCATCGTACTGTGCAGGCAAAAGCTGTTTATTTCTGTTCTGGAGGTCTCAAGCTGATAAAAGAACAGGCTGTCACGGATGTCGCCTCGCTGCCGCTCATGCTGAGAGACTAAAAAATTCATCAGCATCCCCGTGAGCTGTCAGGCATGTAAATGCCAATACGTGAAACTGTATTTTTTTGTTTATGAATCCTCTATTCACATCTACAAAGCTTTGGGTTTCATGCACCATAATGATATTAAAGTGATTGGCTGGATGTGAAGGTGGTTTGAAGTGCTGCAACGTGTTATCAAGCGATGTAGAAATCGCATTGCGGTAATCACCTGTGGAAAAGCTGAGGTTCTAGAACTTCCCTTCGGGATATCACGTCCTCCAACATGACCCTCCAAATGGAAGGATATACTTACTTCTGATCTTCTCTCTACGTTTTTTGATTACACTCACCCTCAGGATATCACACCTCTAACATGACCCTCCATAACTGTAGAAAATACTCTACTCCTGACCTTCTCTCTACTTTCCTGGTTACACTCACCACCGGGATAAATCCTCCAACATGTCCTCCAAATGGAAGGATATAATCTATTCCAGACCTTCTTTCTACCTATTTTATTAAACTCTCCCTTGGGATATCACACCTCTAACATCACCCTCCATAAGGTAGAAAATACTCTATTCCTGACCTTCTCTCCACTTTCCTGGGTGCACTCACCATTTGGGGATATCGAAACCTCCAACATGTCCCTCCAAATGAAAGGACATACTCTACTCCTGATCTTCTTTATACCTTTTTTATTACACTCACCCTCAGGATATCACACACCTCTAACATGACCCTCCATAAAGTAGCAAATACTCTAACCTGACCTTCTCTCTACCTTCCTGTTACACTCACCACCACCAATCGAATCCTCAACATGTCCCACCAATTGGAAGGATATACTCTATTCCTGACCTTCTCTCTACTTTCCTGGTTACACTCACCACTGGGATATCGAAACCTCCAACATGTCCCTCCAAATGGAAGGATATATATTTCAGACCTTCTTTGTACCTATTTTATTACCTGACCTTGGGATTCTCTAAACATGACCCTGCCTGAAAATACTATTTCTGCCCTCTCTCACTTTCCTGGTTGCATCCCCATTGGGATATCGAAACCTCCAACATGTCCCTCCAAATGGAAGATACTGTATACTCTGTTCCTGACCTTCTTTCTACTTTTTATTTTACACTCACCACTTGGGATATCACACCTCTAAACATGACCCTCCATAAGGTAGATAACTTTACTCCTTACCTTCTCTCTACCTTCCTGGTTACACTCACCATCGGGATATCGAATCCTCAAACATGTCCCTCCAAATGGAAGGATATACTCTACTCCTGACCTTCTCTCTACTTCCTGTCTACCACTGTCAGGATTTGTATCATCAGTTGGTGGCACAGTGGTTCCTTTGGCAGAGGGTTGTCGTTCTGGTGACCACCAGGGAGTGTCTCCCAGCAGCTAGCAGACCCAGTAATCAGTTTCCACCCAATGCTGGTTGCTGGGAGGGTATTTAGGTCCTTCCCCTACTGGTGCATCTTACTCCAGTGTTTTTGCTGCTCGTGTCCTGTACCCAGTTTTGCTCTTGCTTTGCTGCTGCCAGAGCCTGTTGCCAGTCATCCTGTTCTTGCCTTGTTCGCAATGCCCTGTATCCTGCTGCCCTGTACCTGCTCCTCCTTGTTCCTGATGCCAGCCTTGGTTTGCCCTTCCCACCTGCTCCCTTCACCTCCAGTTTTCCATGCTTTTCTCTGTTCCCCATGTTGTATATGTTGTATACAGTTTGCTGTTAGTTACGTTTCCTGTTTATTAGTTTTATTCTATCACTGAGGTTTTTGTTCATGTTACTTTTATGTTTGCTGTGTGCCGTGGATGTTTTCTGTTTCACTGTAAATAAACCTCACCTAAGCATTTATAGTCTGGTCTTGGTTTCTAAGTGTAGCTATGCAGATCTGGCCATCTTAGTTGTAGATTTCTGGCAACCTCCCTGGTTACACCTACAACCAGGATATCACACCCTTCAACATTACCCTCTATAAGGTAGAATATACTCCTGACTTTCTCTATATCTTTCTGATTGCATCCACAATTGGGATATCATGCCCTCCAACATGACCCTCCATTGGGTAAAACATACCCTACTCCTGACCTTCTCTCTACCTTGCTAATTATGCCTACTGCTGGGATATCACAACCTCCCACATGACTCTCCATAAAGTAGAAAATACTTTGCTCCTGCCTTTCTCTCTACCTTTCTGATGGCATGAACAGGGGTTCAGTCAGTTACATTTTATGAAGGGTCTATTTTGAAATGTTAGTAGAGTGTAATGAAATGGAGAAGTTCAAGAAGGCTGGAAATCACTGGGCCTCAATAATTAAAGTGTCCTCATTGCCCCATAGCAACCACCTTTGGGCACTGATGACTTTGTGAACCTAAATGTATTCAGTATAAGGGGTGCATTGTCTGCTGCAATTCAACCCTCCAACATGACCCTCCATAAGCTATAAAATACTCCTCTCCTGATCATCTCTCTACCTTCTTGATTACACTAACCCTCGGAATATCACACTATCCTCATGACCCTTCACAACATAGTAAATTCTCTGCTCCTGATCTGATAGCCTGATTACAACCACCGTTGGGATATCTCACCTCAACATGACCTTCCATAGTGTAGAAAATACTCTGCTCCTTACCTCCTGTCTGCCATTCTGATTACAGCAAACATTGGGATATCTCATCTCCAACATGACCCTCCATAGGGTAGAAAATACTCTGCTCCTGACCACCTCCCTACCTTCCTGGTTACACTTACCACTGGGATATCGAATCCTCCAACATGTCCCTCCAAATGGAAGGATATACTCTACTCCTGACTACTCACAACCAGGAAATCACATCCTCCAACATGGCTCTCTAAAAGGCCCAGTGTCATTAGTACAGTGTCAGTGCTTTTTTTTTAGCACTGATCACTGTATTGGGGTCACTGGGGTGTCAGTGACACCAAGTTAGTTCCCCCCCCAGTGTCATAATGTCCGCCGCAGTCCCGCTAAAAGCCACTGATCGCCGCCACTACTAGTAGAAAAAAAAAATCCCATTATCTATTCCGCCATTTGTAAACGCTATAACTTTCATGTAAACCAATTAATTTACACGTATTGGGATTTTTTTTTAGCAAAGACACGGAGCAGAATACATTTTGACATAAATTTATGGCGAAATTTGATTTTTTACATTTTTTTACTGGAAATGTTTAATAGCAAAAAGTCCAAAATATTGTTTTTTTCTCAAAATTGTCGGTAGAGTTTCCCCTTTTAGAGTTGCTACTCCTTAGCAGTTGAATTGTCATGTGAGTTCCATTTTACAAGATGGGAGGAGCTTGGGTCGAGGGGAGAGATTTCTTGGCACCACAGAAGGGGGACAAAAGTTGAGGGGTTCAAGTGTACTCTCTCCTTTGTGGGAGGGGCAGTGCAGAACTTTTCCCATAGTATAAAGGAACCATGTTAAGGACATTTATCAGATTCTGTGACCCATCTTGCTCTTCCATGGTTTTCCATGATCTAGAAAAGTTATTGGTACTGAATTGGGTTGTTTATTAAATTTGTACAGAGTAAAGAAGTTACTTAGGGATAAGAAGGCCTCTGTGTGGCGCTATACTGCGAGAGAAATGGTAAAGACAAGCCATTGCCTGGGGAGTCTAGTTATGTGCTTTACTGGCGCAAGCCTTGTCGGTTATGGAGGAAAAGGAGTCCCCTGACTGTGAGAGAGAACAGCCTCATGTACGAGGCATCAGGTGGCCCGGGCTGCTGGGTCTCATAGGCCCTGGATGGATAGTTGGGCTTCTGGAACTTCTATCTCCAGTCATGAAGGAGTTAGTGTGTGCAGTGGCCTAGGGGATGTGGGGTAGAGGTCTAGGACCATCATCTGTGCACGTGAACAGTATGTGGATTTGAGCTAAACCCCAGGGTGATGTCCTGCATCCCTGTATGTAAAGGAGGAGCCCAGCTGTACATGTTGGCCACGTGGAACAAAGCGGGGCCTCCCCTTACAAATGAAATGGGGGTGGCCAAAGATGCTACCTTGCATAGAGGCCCATTTTGCCCTAAACCATCTTTACGTGCTTATCATTCCTGCAGCGAGATGGTTATAAACAAGTAATATATAATTGTGGTTGTTCTCATGGCTTCAGATAGCCAAAACAGATAAGGTTGGGCTGAAGGAACTTTCACACTCATGTACAGCTATTGATTGATATGTTTTTCTCTGTTCCGTAGAGCTCCCGGAAATTGACCAGGTAAAAGGTAGTGTTTTTCAGCTGTTGTCTCCTCCTAGAACCCGTTCTGTAATAATAGAACTTCTACATTTGAAGAACGTCGAATTCTGCCTGGTATGTCCTTCTGTGCGTGGATTTGGCCTCAGGGCTACATGGTTGTTTTGTTTTTCAGAGTTCATTTGCAACATGTTGACCAATTCCTTTTATGTTAAGTCCCTTAGGGCTTTAAAAGCTGTAACTGTCAACAACAAGGCTTGTTACAGACTGGAGATGGCAGTCGAAAAAATCTGATCACTTCCTGATCACGCTGTGCACTGTGCTGCCTGATTGTCCCCAGAAGAAACCCGTTTAGGTTGCAACTTCTCTAGGCCATGGGTGGTCAAATTTTTTCTTTTTGCTCTAATCCAGGGATTATTGACTAAATCATCTTATCTCTTTATATAAAGCCCATGGGTGGTCATACTCAGCTGTATTGAAGCTTTGTTTGTGAAGATCAGGCCATGTAAAGTTTCATTGGAGTGTGGACAGATGACCTTTCAGTACTGCTCACAAAAAGGTCTTCCAGCTCTGACATAACCAGGAATGAATCAGCATACCTTTTCACATAGTTAGCAATTACACCCTGGTGATTGTGCCAATTCTTCAGTCCATAAACCATTTCACTGTACTTATGCCCTGAGAAAGGGAGGGATTTATGGGCCTCCAGAACACTCTGGATTCACTGAACCAATAAATAATTGTTGCAGGGGCATTGTCAGTGCCAGGCACCCAGGACACGTGGTCCACACAGGGGCGGACTGACCATTTGGAAACTTGGGCACTGCCTGAGGGCCCGGGGTCAGTGGGGGGCCCCATGAGATGCCCCTGGCACCTTTTACATAGGCCTTTTTGAGTTTGGGCAAGGACACAGGGACCTTATGATCCCCTATTGCCCGGGGGCCCCATGAGTTGTCAGTCCGCCCCTGGGTCCACATCTCCTGTGGCGTGCCCCGGGTTCCCGGCTCCAAGATTGCCTGACACTGTAGTAGCCAGCATTGCCCCCCGGCCGGCTGCCCGTCACAATAGTGATATAGTAAATATCAGAGCCCAGTGAAGCTTCCCCTAGGCTCCTCCTTGGCTCTGACATGTCTTATTAGAGAACGTCTCCTGGTATTGAATTTTGGTTTGGGGAATGGAGGGGGGGGGGGGGGGGAGGACATATGCTGCGGGGGGGTGGGGGAATTTGGGGAAAACATGATTTGTACTAGAAGGGCAGGGGGTTTGGGATAGAATTTGTGCTGGGAGGGGGGATGTAGAGGGAAGAGGATTTGTGCCGGGAGTGGAGATTCTTGGGACGGGAATAAATATTTGTGCTAGAAGGAAGAGTTGGGTGGTAGATTTATTCTGGGAGGGGGGGGTGGGAGGGATTTGTATTAGATGAGGAGAGGATCAGCGCTGGAAGGGGGGGGTAGAATAAGATTTTTGCTGGAGTTTTGCTGTGGAAGGGGGGGGGGGGGGGTAGATATGGGGGAGGGAAAAGATTTGTTCTGGGAGGAGTGAGCATAGATATTAGTATCTGGATATTGGGGAGGGGGAATTTTGCTGAAAGGGTAAAGTGGGGGAGAGTATTGTTTGCGGAGGAAATGTTGCTCTATTCTGATCCCTGCACGGTGCATTACACACCCCTGCCTCCTGCATTGTGAACTTCTGACCCCTACTGTGCAATGAGCACTCCCGTCCCCTGCATTTTGTTCATTACTTACTCCTGACCCCTGTTCTCTGTGTATTATATACTCCTGAGCCCAACACTGACTGCATTACTTACTCCTGACCCCTGTTCTCTGTGTATTATATACTCCTGAGCCCAACACTGACTACATTACTTACTCCTGACCCCTGTTCTCTGTGTGTTATGTACTCCTGAGCCCAACACTGACTACATTACTTACTACTCCTGACCCCTGTTCTCTGTGTGTTGTGTTCTCCTGAGCCCAACACTGACTACATTACTTACTCCTGACCCCTGTTCTCTGTGTGTTATATACTCCTGAGCCCAACACTGACTACATTACTTACTCCTGACCCCTGTTCTCTGTGTGTTGTGTACTCCTGAACCCAACACTGACTGCATTACTTACTCCTGACCCCTGTTCTCTGTGTGTTATATACTCCTGAGCCCAACACTGACTGCATTACTTACTCCTGACCCCTGTTCTCTGTGTGTTATATACTCCTGAGCCCAACACTGACTACATTACTTACTCCTGACCCCCTGTTCTCTGTGTGTTGTGTACTCCTGAGCCCAACACTGACTACATTACTTACTCCTGACCCCTGTTCTCTGTGTGTTATATACTCCTGAGCCCAATACTGACTGCATTACTTACTCCTGACCCCTGTTCTCTGTGTGTTGTGTACTCCTGAGCCCAACACTGACTACATTACTTACTCCTGACCCCTGTTCTCTGTGTATTATATACTCCTGAGCCCAACACTGACTGCATTACTTACTCCTGACCCCTGTTCTCTGTGTTATATACTCCTGAGCCCAACACTGACTGCATTACTTACTCCTGACCCCTGTTCTCTGTGTATTTTATATACTCCTGAGCCCAACCACTGACTGCATTACTTACTCCTGACCCCTGTTCTCTGTGTGTTGTGTTCTCCTGAGCCCAACACTGACTACATTACTTACTCCTGACCCTGTTCTCTGTGTGTTATGTACTCCTGAGCCCAACACTGACTGCATTACTTACTCCTGACCCCTGTTCTCTGTGTGTTGTGTACTCCTGAGCCCAACACTGACTGCATTACTTACTCCTGACCCCTGTTCTCTGTGTGTTGTGTACTCCTGAGCCCAACACTGACTGCATTACTTACTCCTGACCCCTGTTCTCTGTGTATTATATACTCCTGAGCCCAACACTGACTGCATTACTTACTCCTGACCCCTGTTCTCTGTGTGTTGTGTACTCCTGAGCCCAACACTGACTGCATTACTTACTCCTGACCCCTGTTCTCTGTGTTTTATATACTCCTGAGACCAACACTGACTGCATTACTTACTCCTGACCCCTGTTTTCTGTGTGTTGTGTACTCCTGAGCCCAACACTGACTGCATTACTTACTCCTGACCCCTGTTCTCTGTGTGTTGTGTACTCCTGAGCCCAACACTGACTACATTACTTACTCCTGACTCCTGTTCTCTGTGTATTATATACTCCTGAGCCCAACACTGACTGCATTACTTACTCCTGACCCCTGTTCTCTGTGTATTATATACTCCTGAGACCAACACTGACTGCATTACTTACTCCTGACCCTGTTTTCTGTGTGTTGTGTACTCCTGAGCCCAACACTGACTGCATTACTTACTCCTGACCCCTGTTCTCTGTGTGTTGTGTACTCCTGAGCCCAACACTGACTACATTACTTACTCCTGATCCCTGTTCTCTTGTGTGTTGTGTACTCCTGAGCCCAACACTGACTACAATACTTACTCCTGACCCCTGTTCTCTGTGTGTTATATACTCCTGAGCCCAACACTGACTGCATTACTTACTCCTGACCCCTGTTCTCTGTGTGTTATGTACTCCTGAGCCCCCAACACTGACTGCATTACTTACTCCTGACCCCTGTTCTCTGTGTGTTATGTACTCCTGAGCCCAACACTGACTGCATTACTTACTCCTGACCCCTGTTCTCTGTGTATTATATACTCCTGAGCCCAACACTGACTGCATTACTTACTCCTGACCCCTGTTCTCTGTGTGTTGTGTACTCCTGAGCCCAACACTGACTGCATTACTTACTCCTGACCCCTGTTCTCTGTGTATTATACACTCCTGAGCCCAACACTGACTACATTACTTACTCCTGACCCCTGTTCTCTGTGTATTATATACTGCTGAGCCCAACACTGACTGCATTACTTACTCCTGACCCCTGTTCTCTGTGTGTTATGTACTCCTGAGCCCAACACTGACTGCATTACTTACTCCTGACCCCTGTTCTCTGTGTGTTGTGTACTCCTGAGCCCAACACTGACTGCATTACTTACTCCTGACCCCTGTTTCTCTGTGTGTTATGTACTCCTGAGCCCAACACTGACTGCATTACTTACTCCTGACCCCTGTTCTCTGTGTGTTATGTACTCCTGAGCCCAACACTGACTGCATTACTTACTCCTGACCCCTGTTCTCTGTGTGTTATGTACTCCTGAGCCCAACACTGACTGCATTACTTACTCCTGACCCCTGTTCTCTGTGTGTTATGTACTCCTGAGCCCAACACTGACTACATTACTTACTCCTGACCCCTGTTCTCTGTGTGTTGTGTACTCCTGAGCCCAACACTGACTGCATTACTTACTCCTGACCCCTGTTCTCTGTGTGTTATGTACTCCTGAGCCCAACACTGACTGCATTACTTACTCCTGACCCCTGTTCTCTGTGTGTTATGTACTCCTGAGCCCAACACTGACTGCATTACTTACTCCTTGATGTTTCCCATAACAACCTAAATCCTCCTGTTTTGCAAGACCTACCATCCTGTTACACATCAACCCTGGGCTGCCATGGCTTTGTCTACCTGCATTGAGTAAGACATTGCCTTCTGAGCATTACAGAATAATCTCTTGTTACTATCTCTATTACAGCCTGGAGAAAAGAGATGGTGATTGCATGTTATTCCTTACAAGAGGTACCGAGAGTCGAATTCCGTGTTGCTCAGTGCTGACCCTTCCACCCAAAATAGCTTTACACACACGCTGAAGACGTGATATAGATCAGACTTTACACTTTACTATAAGAGACCTCTCCAGAGTTCACGTTGTGCCGTGCTACGTCTATGAGTACAGTTAATATTAACTATTATACATATATTGCAGAAAGCGATAACAGGCCCGTCCGATTCAAACTGGCTGAATGGCATTCACAAACATCCTGACTCAGGAAAAACCTGACAGATGAACCTTTTCACACCTAGACAAACCCCTTTTACTTTTAATGTTACTTATTACATTGAACACAAATTCGAACAAACTACGCAGTTCTTTATACCCGCCGAAGTGACTGGCTTCAGTTGATACACAGAGATTAAACAAATCCCCCTTTGTAGGTTGTACCTGTTTATCTGAAGCCCCCTCTTCTCTACATCCATTCAAAGTGCAGAATTTATACATAGTTTCTGAGCTTTCAGGAAGCAGGGGGCAGGAGTGTGAAGTTACGCTCCGTAAAGAGAGCTGAGAGCCGATTGGAGGGAAGAGACACACACCCCTTCCCACAGCACACAGGAATAGAGCTGAGGCTGTCAATTGCAGGCTGTGTGCTGGAGCTCCCTCCCCTCCCACATGGAAGAAAAATATATTTGAAACATATTTTTTAAATATTCTTCCCAAATATATTGATATATATTTGAAATGCTACAATTTTGACCATATTCAATATATTTCAAAATATATATATGTATACAATGAATTGTAAAGAAGATATTCATGCACGCTGTTGTTACCAAACAACATCCAACAGAGGAGGCAGATGGTATGCCAACCGGCAACAAGGTAACTGAATGAGGAAGGGCGAGGGCCAGAGACACAGCAACAGTCCCTAATCTGTCCCTCCTCCACTGGAATCTGTCCCTAACCAGCGGGGGCTCTGTACCTAACCTAACCACTTTGCAAATGCATGCCAACCAAAGGCGGACAGTGCTATTTATTAGCACTGCCCACACCAAAGATGGCCACAGAGGTCAGTCAGGGCAGCAACATCCAATCGGAGAGCTGTTCCCTTGATGACACCAACGGAGTTCTCAGAAGAACATGGGTTCCCTCTGTCTTCAGCCCTCTCTGTATGCAGCCACCTAACAGTGCCACCTTTGCAGCGAAGCTGACCTACACCTGTCTACAGGTAGAAGAAGGTAAGGAGAAGAGTATTTTCTACCTTTTGGAGGGTTACATTGGAATGTATGATATTGGAGGGTTACACTGGAATGTATGATATTGGAGGGTTACATTGGAATGTATGATATTGGAGGGTTACACTG